TTTGATTTTCACCCTGAGTGAAATGAAAAGCCATCACAGGATTCAGAGCAAAGTAATGATATGATCAGACCTGGGTCATTTTGGTTGTTATCAGTTTTGCAAATTTTGAGTTTGAGATGTTTTACAGACAATGGAAATTAATAATTAGGTAACTGAACATAAGAAACTGGAGTTTGAAGGAAAAGCTAACATTAGGAGTTTCCGTAAAGAGATAGTATTTAAAAGCCATAAAAGTGAATGAAATCACCAACTGTAGACAGAGGAGAAAAGAGATACAAAAATGAGTTAAAATGGTGCCTCAATATTAAGATGTTGAAGAGATGAAGCACAACAAGCAAAGGAGACTAAAAAGGAACAGCCAGAGAAGAGAAAGAAGAAATGATCTACTGGGTCAAATACTGCTGTGAAACAGGCAGAGCAGCCTACATCATCTTCTTTTTACAGAAACAGGGATTAAAGCTCAGATAAATCAATGAAGTTTGTCTTAGGTACGAAGCTTGTCCCATTTCATGACCACAGACTCACAGCCATTTGGCTGGAAACAGAGTTGTAGGAGATTCTTTTTTTTTTCAACAAGCCAGTGAAAACTAAGAGTGAATAGAGAGAAAAAATGAAGAGGAAGATTAAGTCAACAGAGCATAACTGGGGAGAATATGCATATTAAGGGAGAGTAATAAAGAGTCAGAAAAGATTCTATAGCAAAGATATTCTGGATGGTGTGTCTTTAAAGACAAGACAAGACTGGTTTAAGAAGACTGTACTTAGTCACACAGTGCTAAATACTGCACAAAATTGACAACTTTCCAGAGGGCTTTTCAAGAGTTGTTTTAGTAGAATATTAGATATAAAAATCTGATTATAAGGATTACAGACTGGGGGTGGTAAGGAGAGAAAAAGACAGGCAATCCTTTAAAGAAGTTTGGTGAGGAAAGAAGAGACTTACAGAGAAAAGCCTTTTCTTTTTCATTATCTGGAAACCTGAGCATGTCTACCAGAAAGATTTAGAGCTGAGGGACCAAATATTCAAGGCACAGATTCTACGTGTGAAAAAGGAAATACTTTATTCAGCAAGACTGTAATATATGTATGTATATGTGATATCTATATGATATATATGTATATAAAAGAGCTGGGATCAAGAACCTAAGTGGAATTCAATTGTGGAAAAGAATGATAACATGATCCCAAAGGAGGATAGGATGGATGAAAAGAAAGACATTTTGAGATGACAGTGAAAGGTGATGGAGCTTGTTTCTGATTTGTCTAAGTCATTCACTAAAATAACGGGCAGTCAGGACAGAATGAAGAGTCCAACGAGAACAGATAAAGTTTGAAATAGCTATTACAGTTTCAGCTCTTCACTGATCTTGTCAAAGAGAATGAACATGAGAGGAATGAATAAGCAGAAAGCTGAGAAATATTTGAGCTCAATTGTAGGTCCTGCTGAAGTGAGCTAGTCTTAGCTCTACCATGTCTGTACTATAGTTACCAATATACTTGTTTGTATCCTCCATAAAATTATAAATTACATGAGGACAGAAAATGTTTACCTTATTCATTAATGTGTCTCCATGAGTATATGGTATTTAGTAAATACTTCACAAATGAAGATGTAACGTATACAATCCCTATCATGTTAAACATTCCTTAATGGTTACAGTTTAATAGGTATTATGAATGAGAGGTAAAAAAATTTTCTTGGCTGATATTTAAGCTGTTTTCCTAGACCTGTAAGGGATATTAGACTGCCCTTTTTGGTCAAAGATAGAATCTGTTCAATAAATTTAAAAGACATCAAGGAGAAAATTCAATTATCTTAGGAAAAATGTGCCAATTAGGTTTTTTTTTTTTTAGTTATTCCTGGATTAAAGGCTGAGTTTGACCTTGAAGTTACTTTAGTAAGAGTTACTTTATCTGAAGTTTTTGGGAAAGGAAATATCTGAAGTTTCCAGATATTAGAAACCTCACTCTACCATAAAGAATCATACTTTTATATTTATTATTTGCATAGAAATCTTAAAAAAATTCATGTCACATTTATTGGCATCTAAAACATAGCTGAATGAACATGATCTAGTCTTTTCTTAAGTACATAGAAATCACCACTATGCTATCCATCATTATGCCACATAAAAAGCTGTGGAAGGAGGTTGGGTGTGGTGGCTCACGCCTATAATCCCAGCACTTTGGGAGGCCAAGGCAGGCGATCGCTTGAGGTCAGGAGTTTGAGACCAGCCTGGCCAACATGGCGAAACCCTGTCTCTACTAAAAACATAAAAATTAGCTGGGCATGGTGGCAGGTGGTTGTAATCCCAGCTACTGGAAAGGCCGAGGCAGGAGAAATGCTTGAATCTGGGAGGCAGAGGTTGCAGTAAGCTGAAATTGTGCCAATGTGCTCCAGCCTGGGCAAGAGAGGGAGACACTGTATTTCAAAAAAAAGAAAAAAAAAAAGAGCTACAAGTCTCTACTTTGAGTAGACCTACATGTTTATACATTTAAATTATTGTTTTTTGTTTGTTTCAGTTGACCCTATTTGCTATTACCAAAGTGCTTGTCTACCTTTTAACTTGTTACTCAAATCTGGAGTAGGCAGGAAAACATGTTTATTAAAATTATCTCAAGTGAATTTATCATTCAACATTGTTTTGTATTATCTACACTTATCACCATAAGGTTATTTTCATTAAAGAATGGGGAGAGTCAAAGTTTTGTGTGTGTTTAAATGTCTGTGTGTGTGTGTGTGCGTGCACACGCTCGCGCCTATGTATGTAGAAAGCAAAAATATATGAAGTGGCGACTTAGAGGCTGCTTTCTACTTAAAGTGTTTAGGGTTTTAGAGTACTGGTTCAGTTATTTGGTGAGATTCAATTATCCTATATAATCATTTATTATTATTTTGAGATCGAGTTTCGCTCTTCTTGCCCAAGTTGGAATGCAATGGTGTGAACTTGGCTCACCACAACCTCTGCCTCCCAGGTTCAAGCGATTATCCTGCCTCAGCCTCCTGAGTAGCTGGGATTACAGGCACGTGCCACCACGCCTGGTTCATTTTGTATTTTCAGTAGAGACGGCGTTTCTCCATGTTCGTCAGACAGGTCTCGAACCCCTGACTTCAGGTGATCTGCCTGCCTTGGCCTCCCAAAGTGCTGGTATTACAGGTGTGAGCCACTGCGCCTGGCCTATGTATTATTATCTTGCTTTCTTCTTGACTCTCAGCTGGCTTCACATAACCTGAGATTGTCAAACAAGTAGCTGTTGTATCTAGTTATGTTCCTTAGTCGTTAAAACAATTTAGCCATTAAACTGATTTAAAAATGAAAAAAAAAAAAGGATAAAAATCCAAGTACCAATCTTACTTTTGTAAGTTGAGGGAAAAAAATGAGTGAATGTGAAAGGATTTGGCAAAGTACAATAGTGATTGCATTTTTATAATATACTTAATATTTAAAAAATTTTATCTATAAACAAATCTATAAAGGCTTATTTTATATAAGTCTTTTCACTGGATATAATGGTGCTGCTATTTTCAAACTGACATTACTTGTTTTGCAGACCTCTACCTCCCTTCATAAGCACAGATGTCAAAGTGTAACTCAGAACTAAGCAGTATTTTTAAATACTTTCTTTCTTTCTTTCTTTTTATTTTGGAGACAGGGTTTCATTCTTTCAGCCCAAGCTGGAGCACAGTGGTGCGATCTTGGCTCACTGCAGCCTTGACCTCCCCCAGGTTCAAGCAATCCTCCCACCTCAGGTCTCCCCCTACCGCCGACCCCTCTGCTGCCGCCCAGTAGCTAGGACTACAGGCGTGCACCACCACGCCCTGCTAATTTTTGTGTTTTTTGTAGAGACAGGGTTTTGCCATGTTGCCCAAGCTGGTTTCTAACTCCTAGACTCAAGGAATCCACCTGTCTGGGTCTCCCAAAGTGCTGGGATTACAAGCATGAGCCACCGAACCTTGCCTTAAAAGATTTTCATATTCCTGACTAGAAATTCTGGTACATTAGAAAACATCTGATTTCTCTTGAATATAATTTCATTTCTTTTCATCTAGAATTCTTCACAAGTATTTTTTCTAATATAGTAAATTTTGAGTTTCAAAAAAAGCAAATACTGAATAAAATCTGAAGTGCTCAGTAGAGCTAAAATGAACTAGGTATTTTCCAATAACATTTAACAAGAGCAAAGTAATACAAATTTGAGACTAGAAAAGGGCACAAATGCCATCACTGATTTATAAGTAATTAATTTAAAAATAGTCATCGACAATGATCTTTTAAAAGGAAACCTTGAGAATGCTGATACTAAGCTGGTCTCTGTTTAGAGAAAACTTAAATAGTGTAACGGTTTTTTTTTTTTTTTTTTTTTTTAAAAGATGGGGTTTCACCATGATGGCCAGGCTGGTCTTGAACTCCTGACCTCAGGTGATACACCCACCTTGGCCTCCCAAAGTGCTAGGATTACAGACATGAGCCACCGTGCCTGGCTAAATAGTGTAACTGTTAAGATCTAAACACCAATTTTCTGAAATAAGGCAAAACCGTATTTTCAATACTTACATTTTCTCCAATGTAAAATCTACAGGGAAAAAAAGCTGTGAGCCACTCCTAAATCCAGAGATCATCTGTTTAAAAATAAGCAGTAAAAAAGTTTCTGCTAAAACCTATGTATACATGTAGAATTCAGGCCTTTCTGTGCTCTTCTTCTATATAAGGTTGCAACCAGAGCAAATTAATGGTGTTCCACAGCAAAGGCAGAAAAATTAGATAAGAACCTGGTTTCCCTGCTACAAGTTAGAACTATAGAAATCACTATAGGCTAAAAGAGCAGAATCTTCATAGAATGAAACATCTAGAATAGATCGATGATATCTTATTTTTTCTTAAATGGGAAAAACAGCTCAGGCGCAATCCCAAAAAAACTATCTTAAGCTAAAATGATCAAGTTTATTACAGTCCCTCTAAATATTAAAGAGAGCTCTTAAAAAATATAACTTGAATAAGGCCCATGAACTGGTTTAACACAGTTAACAGTGGTTTTATGAATCACAATGAATCCTGCTACTCTCTAAAAATGAATATATCAAAGAGGAAATAACTTCCTTGGCATGCTCGCAGCTATACAACGTATTTGTTTCACTGCTTTCAACCGCCTGTGCTGGAGGCTCAGAATAAGTCAATGAGAGGAGGACTTCAGGCACAGCAGCAAGCAAGTCTACTGAACAGATAAGATGACATGCTCGGGAAGGTAACAACAAAGCCAGAGGTAAGTATTTAACAAATACATATGGAATTAATCTAAAGGTTTTTTAGTTTCCTTTTTCTTAAGTTTCAAGAACTCTGATATCATAATCTTTCATCTTTATTCAGTGGTTTAAAAAGCAAAATGAAAAATTTACTAATGCTAAGGGGGAGTTTTTAAAAATGTGATTTGTACATTTGATGAATAAACAAATGGTTTAATCTTCCTTTTGGTTTCCCTTTCTTCTCAAGGCAAATGGGAAGGTTAAAGAAAAAAAAAAAAAACACTACTTAGAAAAAGAGTTCGTTTGAATTTGGCAAATTTAGTGATTAAATTTAGAACACATTTGTTGCAAAAACATACCATGAGAGATGAAATTACTAAGAACAATTATTTGGATCCCAGTAATACCTATTTTTTTCCTTCTCTCAAACTAAAGGAAATCTAAAATGGCATTTATATTAGTACTCACAAAGTTGATCAGACAAAGCCAATTACATATAAGGATTCCTAGCTGGTAAATCGTTTATTTAGACCCTTGTTAGGCTTGGAGTGTTTCTAGGTGGGTGGCCAGTGCATACAGAAAGTTCTATTCTGAACTACTGTGTTTTGACTTTTCTAGTCTGTAAATAAAGGTAAAAAGACATTCAAAGGCAAGGAAACACCTTTTTATTATAACCATTGAAAAATTTAATGTGCCTTCTGTTTTATTAACTGAGAAGTATAGTATTTTTGGAGAATTGGCTGCATTGACACAAATGCACAACAGACTTACTAAGAAGGGAAGGGTTATCAAGTGTTTTTACCACTTTCAGAAATGAATAAAATAATGCAATCTGTGTATTTTGTATCTAGGGGAACCTCTCTGGCATGCAAGTTCAAACACGTCTCTACAACTACGGCAGAAAAAGAGAGAAACTTAAAAAAAAAACCTCCTATTTTTTTCATAGCTATCAGTTTCTTTCAGAGCCTTCCTAAATTTAAGCCTCTAGAAAATATTAAATACTTGGAGATCTTACCTATACACATGGACAGATGTGTTCATGTGCTCATTTTTGAGAACTTGAATTTTTTTTTTAAAGGAAGGTGTTATCTTTGGTTTTGAGTGTTTGGCTGGGTACAATGCTTTAAAAAAAAAACAGATGACCAGCTTAGCTACTGACCATGCTGACCACTGTTCGGAACGGCACTGAATCACAGAAAAACAGCAAATGGGTCTCTCTCATAGAGTGTCTGAACTTCAAAGCACAATTCCTGGGCACATTTTGCAGAGCACCTTTGTTCACTTTATCTCTTCTAACTGGTCTGGATTACAGACAGAATCAATACCGGAAGAAATGAAACTGATTGTTGAGGAACAGGGAAATAAACTGCACTGGGCAGCTCTTCTGATACTCATGGTGATAATACCCACAATTGGTGGAAATACCCTTGTTATTCTGGCTGTTTCACTGGAGAAAAAGCTGCAGTATGCTACTAATTACTTTCTAATGTCCTTGGCGGTGGCTGATTTGCTGGTTGGATTGTTTGTGATGCCAATTGCCCTCTTGACAATAATGTTTGGTAAGTATTTCACTTGTTTGTGCCATCAAACCACAGAACTATGATATGCTATTAGAGAACTGGACACTCATTGAATCTTTATTTTTCTTGAAATAAAAGATGAACTTGGACTATTTAAAGATACGGCAAGTAAACAGTCACTTGTTTTACATCATTTTCTATGGTTGATCATCAGTTTTAAAGAACAAAAAATATTTTTTTGCAAACAACTTTACTCTTTACTCCCTCCTAAGCCATCTAATAAAATCATTTAAAAAGTCATTCAAGTTAGTGATATTTATGGATTCTGAATGTATTATCTACAAATTATAGTGAATAGGCCTATACTTTAACTTTCTACATTGATAACTTTTCCTTAAAGCAATAACTAGGACACTTCTGGGACAGATATGTGCTGGGTTAATGATAAGGTCTTTGAATCACTAAATAAACACTTAAGCCCAATTTAAATCACTAAGCCCCAGTTTAAAATTGGAATTGTTAAAAAACTCTTGTTATATCTCTTAATGTTTGTGTATTATAAACTTGAATACAATTCCTACTTATGTGTCATGTTAAGAAAAATTATGTTTAGTTGCTAAAGAAAATGGTTTGGCTCAGAGTGTCCAAAGAGATGACTCATCTGTTTAACTTTTTTTTATTATATATGGCCATCTGTGCTTGTGATAGACCTCTAAGTAAGTAGATTAAAACCTAGTTATTGTGATAATAAAAAGTATAGCTTGACACTGAAATCTTAGTTTGTTATAATAAAAAAGAATAATAAAATAAATATAAGTAGTTTCAGATTTATGCATATCATCTCTAGTTATAAAATTTGGATAAACACAAATAGTTCTGCTGATGAATTATGAGGGCTCATAGACCCTTGGAATCAGCATTTAAGAGGGTATTTAACTTATTCAATGCTTGATGTAAACTGATATTCCATTCATAAACTGCCTAAAAAAATGATTATTTGTGGCAGATACGGTTTCTTAGATTTACTTATATGAAGATGAAAATATTTTAAATTATAGAAATAAAATTTATTAAACTAGAATCCATATTAGAAGGTAGAAAAATCCCTGCTATTCCAACTATTATACCCAGGTCTTATATGTTACAATTTTATAAGTAATAACAGAAAGATATCTAAAATTATCATCAGATGGTAACAGGTTTAAACCTTCCATTTTAAATCAACATTTACCTGGGCTTTAAAATTAATCAAGAAAAATATGTGGCAGGACAAGCAGTAATGAGTAAGGTTCTACTGCTTTAATTAGACTTTCTAATCATTAACAGTTTTTCTATATCCCTCTCTTTTATAAATTTGTAATCTTTTGAGTAATCTAATGCTACATGAAACCACGGAGGATAATTAAGAAATCTTACCATATATAACTCTATCAAGACAGTTGCAGTTGGGCAAAATAAAAATAAAAAAAGTGAAATCTTGCTATAATAGAGAACATAAAGAACCTTAATTCTGAATAAAGCTTAAAAGAAAGTATTATGTAGAAATATATATGCATATTTGATAGATTGTACACGCATATGATTCCAGTCCTCATCTCCACGTACATAATAGTAGCTTAAGATGTAAAATCATACTCTTCAAATTGTGCTTTGCTTGTCACATAGAAAATGTCAAAATGCTTATTTCAGACTACCATAAAATTTAATGTTGTTGAATACATGAAATTGAAAGAATTATGAAGAAGTGAATTTTAGCTTTAAAATCTTTGAGCCCATAAATATCAAACATCTATTATATGCAAAGTACTATTGTAAGTACTTAAATTATCAGAAAAATAGTTAAGGAATCTTAAAAGGCAAAGTTCCATAGTATTAAACTGAGTTAACAAAATACCAAAACAGATAACAAAGATAATTTTATGTATTCTATAGAAAAATGGGTATCCAGCAGCTGAAAATTTTAAATGCATATTTAAAATGCTGGTACCCCAAGATATTCTTAGCAATACAATTAGCAGAAAACTCAACATATGTTAACATAAAATATGTAAAATGTCTTCATATTTATGTCTTAATTGATATATACTTTAATAGTATTTCACTCTTCCAAATGTTTGTTAATTTTCAAATTTATTTTTATTTATTTATTTTAATAGAGATGGGGTCTTGCTATGTTGCCTAGGCTAGCCTCAAACTCCTGGGTTCAAGCTATCATCTGGCCTCAGCCTCTCAAGTAGCTAGGATTATAGGCACCATGCCTGGCTCATGTTCATTAATTTCTCATTACAAAATAAAATCTTTTATATCCCCAAACGTTTTTACTATCAGAATTAAGTTGTACAGTAGGGTTTGTAGATTTGTTAAAAATGAACAAATCTGGGAACCACTAATACATTATTGCATTATTTATCTAAAGCATAATTCAATTTGTATTAAAAAAAAAAAGTAGGAAAAAAAACACATGTGGCTCTCTCTAACAAGCTTCAAAGGATGAATTCATAAATTGGGAACTGCATGTATTACAAATGGAAACCTGACTTCAAATACTAAGATATTTTTTATAACCTTAAACCTTTTGCAAATCAATGAACACTAAGATTTTTCTAAACGAATGCATTTATAAGAACATATGATACCTTTAAAAGGCAGAATTAGACTTTCACTCTTATTGTAGTGGTAGTCTTCAGGACTTCTAAAGTTTGTACAAACAAGTATTCTGGGTTTTATGATAAAAGATTATCACTATGAGAAATAATTTTAGCTATCTCAGGGAAATTCAATGAAAGTAACACAAAACTTTATACTAGCTAGTATTCTAAGAAAACAAAATTTTAAAAACAAGAGCAGTAAAATGTAAAAGTGGCTCCTGTGTCCTTATACTGAGAGATATTTTATTCAATCACTGATCTGTATAATATTTAATAATACACTGTTTGAATTCCTATTTTGCCAAGATTATGACAACTCAGGCACAACACTGTCTTTCAAATGAGTTGTGCTAGGTCAATTTTTTCTGCCATTTCCTCCTATCTGGGAGCACTGGCCTTGATGATCTTTACAGTTCTAGTTTTTTATTGTCTTGTCCATAATTCAAAAATCCATGATCATAAATCAACAGATTATAATATAAGGATTAAAGATACCTGTTAGAAATACTTGAGCATGAAAACAACATCTTAATGCTGATATAAAAAAGACAGGATGTTCACCATTTAAGAGCTTCTCTGAACCTTTCTTTCTTTTATTTTATAAGTAATTTAAAAAGTAACAAGGGAGGCCAGGCTGGGCACAGTAGCTCACCTGAGGTCAGGAGTCAAGACCAGCCTGGCCAACATGGCAAAAACCTGTCTTTACTAAAAATATAAAAATTAGCCAGGCGTGGTGACACGCACCTGTAGTCCCAGCTACTTGGAGGCCGAGGCAGGAGAATCACTTGAACTGGGAGGCGGAGGCTGCAGTGAGCTGAGATCGTGCCACTGCACTCCAGCCTGGGTAACAGAGCAAGACTCCATCTCAAAAACAAAACAAACAAAACAAAACAAAACAAAATAAACCAGAAAGTAACAGGGGAAAATATGGCATCTGGTAATCCATTGGGCATTACTGGTTTATTTATAATTTTTTTTGTTTTTGAAATGGAGTCTCGTTCTGTTGCCCAGACTGCAGGTATGGCTATGTTCTTGGCTAACTGCAACCTCCGCCTTCCAAGTTCAAGAGATTCTCCTGCCTTAGCCTCCTGAGTAGCTTGGACTACAGGCATATGCAACCATGCCCGGCTAAGTTTTGTATTTTAAGTAGAGACGGGGTTTTGCCACGTTGGCTAGGATCGTCTCAAACTCCTGACCTCAGGTGATCTACGTGCCTTGGCTCCCCAAAGTGTTAAGACTGCAGGTGTGTGAGCCACCGCACTGGGCTATAACTTACGTTTTAATTGATGCCTCATGATCTATAAGTTGAAACAGTATCCGTGGTATAAGTGATAGAGAGTATATACAATGACTGAAAGACTGCTGTTTGGAGCAAGACATCCCAGGGTTTGAATCTTGATTCTCCTGTATTTTATCAAGCAAGTCACTTACTATCTTAGAGTTCAATCACCTTGTCAAGCAGGGCCTAGCATTTTATAAACACCAATAGTAATTGGTAGAGTGCTGCATGCAAATTAAATGTGATTTAGTTGAGATGTAAGTCTAATCAGAGAAGAAACAAATGTATAGCAGTAAAAGAAAAAAGGCAGTTATTTATATATGCAGTAAAATGTTAATCTACCCAATTCTGAAATGGGGGGAAAAAAGCAATTAATTAAAGGTGCTTCTTGTTGTAAAGAAGAAATTTAAAAAACCAGGAAAAAACTGTGTAAGTATTAAGTTGCTTAAAACGTTTAAAACACTATCATATTAGACATAGAACCCCCAGATAACTCATATGCTCAAACATAGTAAAAAAAGTAAAAAACGAAACAAACTTTTAAACAATAATTTGAACTGAACTATGTCTTTCTTTTCTGGAAGATAAAGACAGAGGCATTAGAATTTCTGAGATAAATGTATATTTGAAAATTAAGGTTTTTTTGGACATAAGAACTATTTATAATTTGTCCTGTTGCATAAGTTCATGAACTGAGTAACTCTGTAAACTCTATAGGCACAGCCCTCTTGGAATGCCTTTAAAAACAGTCTTTTCCATACTCCGAAGGGAATTATTTTATGTCCTAGATTTATGGATTGATGCTAGTTATTTTCTGGACAAATGATGTAACCTGACTTTCCAAACTAAAAAGTTGCCCGAAGGCAACTTTAAGCAGGTTTCAGATAAAATAAGTCTACCTATCAAGACATGGAGTTTCTAGTAAAAATCCTCAGGTTATTTTTTACTAATTTAAAAGAAAGCAAAAACCACCAAGAAAATACCAAAACCAAACAAAAAATCCAGGTATGGCACAACTGCAACACATACAGGTTATTTTCCTGTGCCATATATAAAACAAACAGCAGTTAAATTTGACGTTAGTAAAAAACATACTTTTATGACAAATTTAATCCAAAGTTAAATAGAGTTAAACATGTTCTCAGCCCATCCTCCTTCACCCCTTGAAAGTACAGCTTAAAGTTTTAAGCTGGATCAGATGCATGCACTTTTACTACAGCAGGCAGAAAGACAAACACAATTATTTTATACTGATGATTTGGCTTATTGTTTCTATGCAGGAGTGTTTTCATGGTTGAGTTAGTTGGCTAGTTTCTGTTAAACAATAGTAATAAGCATTAACATTTGAGTGTTTTCTTTTTGTCAGGAACTGTTCTAAACACTTCACATGTATTTAATTGCTATCGATAAAAACCCTAACAAAGCAATCCTATAAAACAGGCACTATTATCCTCATTTTACAGAGGACAGAGAAACAAAGTGGTAAGTAATCTGTTCAAGATTACAAAGTAATTGGCAGACATGATTTAAACCCAGGAGGATTGATTCTAGAATTCACACTCTTAACCTCTATTACTCTGCTTTCTCAAATGCCAATGAGAAAGTCGACCAGCCAAAACTGTCATATTTGGCATACTGAACTAATATGATATCTTAAATAACCCCATGTAACTATTAAGAGGACACAGAATATTTTTCCTCCCTAAGGACATGGCAGAACTCAGTATTCTTTTCAGTTAAACTTATATTTCATATTAAGTGGAAAAGAATACTTGAGTGTCAACCTATACTTGTACAAATCCTTCAGATGACTGCAAGATCTCTTTTCTGTGGAAGGTATTAGGCCTAGGCCCACACTTATGAAGTTGTTGAACCTCGTCTGGGAGACAAATACAAATTTATATAACTGGATGACAATTCCCACCATCACTTATGTATGGCAATATTTAAAGTGTAGTCTTTATTTTAAACAATAAAATATTGTGCTATGGATATTTAGATAATTAAACAATTGTCTATAAGCCAAGATCCACCTAGGACTTGTTTTGTTGCCTTAATATTCAGTCTGTAATTATTTCAGGCATTCACAGAAATGCCATTATTCTTTCTTAATTTTAATGAGTCTAATTTAGAGCCCTAGAAGAACAGTAATTAATTTAGTTCAAGAATCTGGTAACTTGTTTCCCTCAGACTGACTCTTAAATACACTTTTCTTTCTTTCTTCTTTCTATTTAAATATGTAACTGTTTCACTTGGTTATTTCAAACTTTAAATGTCTTAAGTCCTTTTGAAAATACATTGGACAGAATACACTATAACAAATAAATGTAATTATAAATTCTTAAAACCAAAACTCCTAATAAAAACATAAAAGTTTTGAAATAAAGTATTTCACCATACCAACTTAACCTTTTTTTTTTTTTTTTTTTTTTTTAAGACGGAGTTTCGCTCTTTTTACCCAGGCTGGAGACTTAACCTTTAATTATGTTATTCTAAATAGAAACTTTCCTGATTTTGAGCTAACCAAACTAATATTAACTAAAACAGTTTTAGAATGAAAGTCTCTACATTAGAAAAAGTCCCTTTATAAAACGAGCATGTCTAGAACTGTTTTTGATGTCTATAAATTCTTAGATTACCCAAATCTATTAGGCATTTATAAAAGCCTCTTTTTCTTTTTCGCATTGTATATAGGGTTTCTATTAATTTAATGCAGTTTTTTTTCTTTTATGTTAGTTTCATAAAAACTATGCACCAGTGGTTCATGAAACTTGAAATCAGAAAGGCTTGGAATTGTAAAGATTCATCTCTCTTAATCTTTAATTTCGGTCTCATTCTTTCTTACAGAAAATTCTCTATCACATCTCAATATTTCTGTTAACAATAAAGCACTGACTGTAATAAGAAAATTCTAGTGAATTTTAAGTGAGAATGAGTTGATAAATTCTTTGTTTAAAGTGAGGCTAACAGGGCTTGATAGGCTTATTTAAATCAGCAGCAAAAAAGCTTTAGCCCACAATTGGAGAACGTGGATCAGATGATCAAATTCCAAAGACAGGTACTTTTTATATAAGAGTTTTCTTATGACTTACTCCTTATGGCTACTAGATTTATGACTAGAATTTTCCAAACCTTAATCTTCAGAAGTACAATCCATAATTAGAATAGCTAAATAGGCAGGTTTAAATAGTTGGCAAACCATTTTAAGATGTTACAGAGAGCATGGACTTAAAGGAAGGAAACCTAAGATACAACACAATAATTTACCTGCCTTTTAAACCTAAGATACAACAAAATAATTATCTGCCTTTTAAATCTTTAATCCTTAAGATACAACACAAGAATTACCTGCCTTTTAAATCCTCAATATCTCTGATTATAGCTCTAGACGAGTATTGTTCTACCACCCTACTTACAGTCCTAAATCTAGAACTTCAGGTCAGTTTAGAATGTAACCTCACTTTAAGTAGTTTCCACTGCAAACTCTATGATGATTCTTTTCACTCAGACTGTTAGTTTGCTTTAAAGTTGCCTGTGTCCAAGGTCCTTTTCCACTAAATGACAGAAAATCTGAATGCTACAGCTAAGAGGGAGAAAATCCAATTGATTAGGTTTTCTCCAAACACCAGTTTCTCTGCCTTCATTTACTTTGAGAGGCCTCCCATTAGTTCCTTTCTACGAGACATTCTGAGTGCCCATAACACTACAACAGCAAACTTAGGTGCATCTTTTAAGACTCAGGCACAACCCTTCCTAGAAAGTCTTCCAAAGCACTGCTTCTCAAATGTTAATTTGCATACGAATCACCTGGAAACCTTGTTTAACTGCAGAGTCTGATACATTAGGTCTGAGATGAGACCCAAGAACCTGTATATCTTAGAAGTACCCAGGTAATGCCGATCCTCATTCTCAATCTTAAGAGCAAACTCTGAGTGGCAGTTCTAAAGAACACTTTAAAATAATACTAAAATTTCGATTAATAAATGCCTCCCCTCCTTACCCTTATATTCAGACTTAATTATACCTGAATTTACTCATCTGCAAGATCAACAATACTCTCTAATGTTCCTTCCAGTTCAATAAATCTGTAATTTACCACCTCTATCCCTTTTACCCCCAATTCAACAAGCAGGCAAAGTTTCTTCACAGCAATTTACTGAAGAGTATGAATGACCCCTTCCACCTGATGCTTTAATCCCTTTTTAAGAAGCTGCTGAACATGGAACTAAGCCCCAATCATTTATTCTTTTTGAGTAAAAGTTTGTGCTGATTTTGTTAGTTTGTTCCTAGGAAGAAATATTTTAATATTCTTATTCAGAATGCCACCTACCAACTATGGAAACAGAAAGAACCAAAAAGTGGATGTATCAGCCTTGATACCTTTTGGACACTTTGTGAAGTGCCCAAATACTTTTCACTGAAATCCTACTTGACTTAAGAAAAATCTCCTACTTGATGCTTGAAAATAATATGGCCAAGTCTATCTAAAAACTCTGCCCTTAAATTATGGTATTTTTTTTGCTCTGAGATTTTAATCTCTCTCCTTAAATTTAAACAGTTCCTTAAATTTAAACAGTTCATAATAGAAGGGTCACTTGATGTTCTGCAATCCTGAGATGATTATCCTGGTTTTCCTTCAATTATGGCAATCACTTTATACCTGCCAAAGTCAGATATACTTACAATAGCCAGAAAAAAAGTAGATTATATTTTATCAGTGGACATATAACAATCTAATCCTAAAAGAGACTTAAATAATCTCACATACATGACATTTGTTCTCTACAGGAGTTAAATTTGATTCTAATGGAAATATTCTCAGGGGAATTATAAAATTTTAGTTGTTTTGAAACTGTAAACAAGTAAGTGGTGGGTGTAGATATAATGTATAACATATTAAATTCACATACGTATGGCCATCTGTGTAAGCAAATTTATTAGAAAACTATGAAGAACATTCAGTATCACATCCAAACCTGAGAATTTTTTTAAGGTTAATGTTTCTGAAGTGCTTAAGACTATATGAGGTACACGGGGTTTTGTAATAGTTTGTTAAATTAAGTACTATGTCTAACCCTGAGATTTTCTTTTTAAACAAAAAGTCTGTACTAATTATTACATCTCCAGTTTTTGGAGTGAATGACGGAGTATGAAGGGGAAACAATCTACTTTTTTCAGGATAATCTGAAGCCATTCCTTTTGCAATCTTTATTCAAAAACTATTTCTGCCAAAAAATCATTCCACTATTTCACCAAACTAGAGTATGCTATAAACAAGGATCTTGCTGCTAGTTATTGCTAGAAGTGGGCCTAAAGCCCAGGTGCCACAGAGACTCCCATTCTAATATGCTTTTTGTTATACTACTTCCTCTATATGGTAAAATGTTTTCTTTTTATACAACAGCAACTTAATAAATTTTATTTAAATACCAAAGTTAAGTTTTAGTCACAATACTACATAAATTTCAAAAAGATCACAAATGGAATGGACAAAAGAGCAAAAGGTCAAAAAAAATGCTAAAAATGTTAAACTGCTGCTGACTTAGAAAAAGGGTGTAATTATACAAAATAGAAAATGTATTTAAGAGTTACCATCCACAGAAATATTGTATTTAATGTTGTCTCCATTATCTAAAGTTAAGCATCATCTTATGGAGGTTAAGTTATAAAATTTCAGATGAGTAACAAAAAAGACAAAAGATACATCACCTGAAAAACTGTAGACTGAAGGTTGCCATTTTACAGGAGAAAATGCTTGTCTTGTTTTTGTTTCTTTCAGAGGCTATGTGGCCCCTCCCACTTGTTCTATGTCCTGCCTGGTTATTTCTCGACGTTCTCTTTTCAACTGCATCCATCATGCATCTCTGTGCCATTTCAGTGGATCGTTATATAGCCATCAAAAAGCCAATCCAGGCCAATCAATGTAACTCACGGGCTACTGCATTCATCAAGATTACAGTGGTGTGGTTAATTTCAATAGGTACGTAGAGAATGCTAGATTGTGGGTGGCATACACAGTCTTTGGTTCTACTTGGTTAGAATACCAGTTGTGGTAGGCAACGAAACTCAGAATGAGAGGTCAAGGCAGCCTACTGATTATTAACATAAGCTCCTTATGTCACTGCATTTATCATACAGCTTCTAAACCATACTATTGGTAAAAAGTGTGAAGAGGAACAAAACTCATGTCCTCAGAAAGAACCATCTGCACAGTGTTTATTGAGATTTCTTTCTGCTTGGATTTCTGTATGCAGAAAGACTACGTTTGAGAACAGTTTTCATACTTGCCAACAGACAATTATGGTCTAGCTAGTATTAGGAATCCTATAATTACACTAAAATAACAAGAAATGAAATGTACCTTAAATCACATTTTAAAAGATTAACAAAAAAAAAACCCCACAAAAAAACAAAAATAACAACTCAAACATTTTGTAGGCAGCTATCAAAGAACACAAATTCATCTCGGAAGCCAATATTTCAGTACCTATGTGTACAGATGGAAGACAGTTAAACATCTGCTTAAGTGGTTTTTTTTGTTCCTTTTTTGGAGACAGGGTCTCACTTTGTCACCCAGGCTAGAGTGCAGTGGCACAATCATGGTTCACTGCAGCCTTGACTTCCTGGGCTCAAGCGATCGTCCCCCCTCAGCCTCCCAAATAGCTGGGACTATAGGCGCATACCACTACGCCTAGCTAATTTTTGTATTTTTGGTAGAGATGGGGTTTTGTCATGCTGCTCAGACTGGTCTCAAACTCCTGAGCTCTGGTGATCTGCCGCCCCAGCCTCCCAAAGCGCTGGGATTATAGGCGTGAGCCACAGTGTGTGTTTTGAAAAGTTTAATTGAAAGTTTTAAGAGAGATGCAAAGAAAACATAGTATACTGTTATTCAGAAATGATTTATAAAAAGAAATCCTTTTTCTTCTAAATAGTCTTATAGCCCTGTACTCATCTATAATACTCAAAGCTGTACTTATCATGAAGTATGCATAAATCATTCAAAGCTCTTACATGTTAGTATCAGAAAAACAAACAGATTTGCAAAAATTACAATAATCTGACCACCAGACTCACTTCTTCCTTCTAAAAATATTTCAAAGAGGCAAAAAGTTAAGAGACCTGGTATACTTAAATTACTTCTCCCTAATCTGAGTAGGAGCACTGAGGCAAAAACAGCAAGAAAGCAAAACAAGGAAATTGACCTTTATATTCCTGAAATGATGACATAAGGGCTGAACCTCTGAAAAAGTTTGGAGGTAAAAGCAAGCTGTGTTATTCCTCTGGTGTGGGAAGAAAGCAGGGTCAATAAAAAGTCTATTCAGAATGAAGAGATATGAAAACAGTAGAAAAGGCTAGTTTAGTGGGCAGAGGCCAACAGAGTAGAACCAGTCCTCCAAAAGCAGCTCCAGAAAGGGAACATTTAATTGTCACAATGGGTGACAATTAAAATTTGAAGCGGAGAGGAGGAAAACTATAATAAAGTCACTTATGCCAAATGACTCACATTTGGTAAGCTCACTACAATGAGGGAGAGGGAAAGGGAGAGTGTGAGGTATGTGTATATTTGGATGGGGTAGGAGAGTAGGACAGAGAAAGGCGAAAAAAAATCAAAGACATGGATCCTTAAGAAGAATTAAAATATTTGAAACTGTGAAATATGATCAAGCTAATAAGGTAAGCAGCCTGCTGGTATAAATGGTATCTAAATTAAGGCTGGATACCATCAATTTATAAATTGACCAAAATTTTATTGAGTGTTTATAATGTGCTAGGTACAAAGAATACACAGATGATCAAGAAAAAGAATCTTTGCACTCAAGAAAGGCAGATATATAAACAAATTACACTAATACAAAGTGATTAGTGGTGCAGGAGAAAAAAGGAATCAAAGGAAGACTCATAATATATAGATTTAGAAATCCACTTCTTCCTTTTATAGGTAAGAAAAAAGAAATCTAGAGGTTTTAATTGGTTGGCTTAAGAACTTACAGCTTTTCAGCACCAAGGCCAAGATCAATGCTCCTTCACTTCATTGCACTTTGTCTTGTAGAACCAATCACAAATTAGTGACTTTGAAAAAATGAAAATGCAGATGACAATAAGTTCAGTTTTGAAATTCTACACAGTGCTGAAGAGAGCTCACTCTCTTCTTTTGGATTTACAGTTATCCTAGGTAATACTGGGCAACAGAAAGTATAATAATATAACATGGTAAGCGCATAAAAAGTACCAGTGACAACTTCTACAGTTATTGACCAGCAAGCTGGATAGGAAGGTAATGTGAGCCTTGATGGGGAGAAATTAATAGAATGTGAAAATTGAGACGAATGAATGAATTAGAGGTAAAAACAGTAAACAGAAGTTCTCTAGGAGTGAAAGGCAGCAGGACAAGGAAGGGAAGTATTAGAGTTCATAATCTTAGATATGGGATTATTTTAAGTAGACCTGTGGATGGCTTTAGTGCAAACAATAATAATTAAGAGTCAAAGAGTTCAAGAAATATAAAATTAAGGTCTTAGTCATCAATAGGATGAAGTTGTGGAAGATGCTGGCACTGGAGCAGTAGAGAGAAGACTATAGCAGGTACTGAAGCCACTAATAGAGATGAACAAATGTGTGGAGGTTAACAGAAGAGCAGGATGGAGAGGACAGTATAAGTAGAAAAACTTCAAAACCAAGTGTTTTGGGGGAGAAAGAAACAGTGGGATGATGATCTGAAAGTAACAGGGTAAAGCAGGGGTCAGCAAACTTTTTCTATGAAGGGTAAGACAGGAAATATTTTGGGCTTGCAGGGCATATATGGTTTCTGTCACAGCTTCTCCAGTCTGCTGCAGCAGAACAAAAGTAGCCACAGACAATACGTTATTAACAAATGGGAGTGGCAGTGTGCCAATAAAACTTTTACAAAAATAGAATGTGGGCCAATGACTGTCAAACTGTAGTATAATGACCCCTGGTGCAGAACAAGTATACAGAATCCTCTTTCTGGTGGTGTACATGAGGAAAAGTAGAGAAAGTAATGACCTCTGTTAGGAAGGGTTTGAGGAACATGTTATTGTCAATGGCTCTTCAGCTACCATAAAAAGGGTGTGTAGAGGAGGGGTACTCTGTGATTCATAAAACAACACAAGGATTCCAGAGGTTTCTAAAGATCAATTAATTCAGACATTTAAAAATTATCTGCTGTTTCAAAGGAAAAGGATTCAAGTTAACACTTGTATTATTTGTCCTTCTAATAAACTACTTCACTAAGCAACATTATATTTAGATACTTCATGCTATTTAAAGATCAGAAAATTAACATGACGTATATTTCTTTCCTATGTCCTAGAAGAATTCTTTTTTTTTTTGAGACAGTCTCACTCTGTTGCTAAGCGTGGAGGACAGCCGTGTGATCTCAGCTCACTGCAACGTTGGCCTCCAGGGTTCCGGTGATTTTCACCTTAGCCTCCCAAGTAGCTGGGACTACAGGCATGTGCCACCATGCCTGGCTAATTTTCGTTGTATTTTTAGTAGAGATGGGGTTTCGCCATGTTAGCCAGGCTAGTCTCAAACTCCTGACCTCAAGGGATCTACCCTCCATGGCCTCCCAAAGTGCTGGGATTACAGGCGTGAGCCACTGTGCCCAGGCTTCTACATCACGATTCACACACACTCAAATTTTTAAGTAGTACTTTAAATAAACTTAGTTTTCCCTAAGAAGTTAGATGAAAGGATTAAAAGACATTCACACATACCAAAAGGTAAAACTGTTAAATGAAACTGTAACCTCAAAGATAAAATAAAGATACTGAATAAATGTACTCTGAAGTCCCTCTAGATCAACTACACTGGATATTAAGAAAAAAGCAGTTTCTCTTCTGAATTTCTCTTCCTTAATCTGAGATAGCTTAAAAAACAAAAATAGATTATGAGAAATGTAGAATAAATGAAGACATTCTCCACCATATCATGGATATACTACAGCTTTGGGGGGGCTTAGGTTCTGTTTGTGAAATCTTCACTGATGAATGCTTTGACAAATCCTGCATTGTGGGTCCCAGGTATTACAATGCACTAACAAGTATAAAGTTTTAAGGATGAATCTAAAAGGATCTAATCTTAAGAGTGCATACAGGTCATAAAAATGACTTCGTTTATCCTGTTTTCCTCTTCCTTAGGCATTGCCATTCCTGTCCCTATTAAAGGGATAGAGACTGATGTGGATAACCCAAACAATATCACTTGTGTGCTGACAAAGGAACGTTTTGGCAATTTCATGCTCTTTGGCTCACTGGCTGCCTTCTTTACACCTCTTGCGATTATGATTGTCACCTACTTTCTCACTATCCATGCTTTACAGAAGAAAGCTTACTTGGTCAAAAACAAGCCACCTCAACGCCTAACATGGTTGACCGTGTCTACAGTTTTCCAAAGGGATGAAACACCTTGCTCATCACCTGAAAAGGTGGCAATGTTGGATGGTTCTCGGAAGGACAAGGCTCTGCCCAACTCAAGTGATGAAATTCTTATGCGAAGAATGTCTACAATTGGAAAAAAGTCAGTGCAGACCATTTCCAATGAAAAGAGAGCCTCAAAAGTCCTAGGGATTGTGTTTTTCCTCTTTTTGCTTATGTGGTGTCCCTTCTTTATTACAAATGTAACTTTAGTTTTATGTGATTCCTGTAACCAAACTACTCTCCAAATGCTCCTAGAGATATTTGTGTGGATAGGCTATGTTTCCTCAGGAGTGAATCCTTTGGTCTACACCCTCTTCAACAAGACATTTCGGGATGCGTTTGGCCGATACATCACCTGCAATTACCGAGCCACAAAATCAGTAAAAGCTCTTAGAAAACACTCTGGTAAAATCTACTTCCAGAATCCAATGGCAGAGAACTCTAAGTTTTTTAAGAAACATGGAATTCGAAATGGGATTAATCCTGCCATGTACCAGAGTCCAATGAGGCTCCGAAGTTCAACCATTCAGTCTTCATCAATCATACTATTAGATACACTTCTCCTCACTGAAAATGAAGGTGACAAAACTGAGGAGCAAGTTAGTTATGTATAGCAGAACTGGCACAGCTGTCATCAAACACGATGAGTAAGATGATAAATGAGATGTAAACGCACCAAGAATATATTATATAAAGAATTTTATGTCATATATCAAATCATCTCTTTAACCTAAGAGTTAAGTATTGAGAATATCCAGTTTTCCTCATTCAGACAAGATTATTCCATGAGGAAAATAATTTTATATAGCTACAAATGAAAACAATCCAGCACTCTGGTTAAATGTTAAGGTATTCAAATGAAATAAAATCAAATCAATAAATTACAGGCTTTAAAAAAAAAACTATCATCATAAAATTTATTCAGTTCCTAATTATATGCAAAGTTGTGCTAAGAATGAAATAAAACAAAACATTAGCCTTGCCTTCCAGGCCTTAAAAGCGTAAAGCATGGGACAGAACAAAAGGAACACAGAGCTAAAAATAAGCGCACAAAACAGTGATCACACCAGGAGGTGAGTTAAGATTGCCATTTATAGTCTGATTTAGTTGAATGTAGTCATAATTTTCCTTTGATCAGGAAACTGTCTTGATGGAAGGGATAGAGAGGATAGTAGCTGGATATCACACAAAATAAAAGGAACTTGGAACTGTTAAAAGGCTGATATTGGGCATCTACTCAGCACAGGTAGGTCTACTGGAGAAGGAGGAAAAAGCAAATAAAATAGCTCTTGGGTACCTGAATCATATTATCGTCCTTAAAGATATTAATTAACACGCACAAGCATGGGACCTTAATCAGGGATACAAACTGTAAGTAAGATCATGCCTGCCCATCTATGCTTGTTCAGTGACTCAAGTGAACTTCCACCACAAAATTTTTTGTTCACCCTTTCAGTATTTATTTTGCACAGTTAGACCTGAGAATGAGTTCAACCTGTGCCACTTACCAGACAGCTGATTACATTTAGAAAAAATACTTAATTTCTTCAAGCCCCAGTATTTTCATATACATTTTATACAATTCTTATGAGGATGAGTACATAGTAGGCACTAAGTAAATGGTAGAAAATTCAATCTACTTTTGATATATATTTTAATGCTCCTGCTGTAAGTGCAAATTTAGGCTACAGAGTCTGCAGTGAACATAGTTCATACCTTAGCTATTCCTTTTCAGGTTCACCAATACTTGTGCCTCAACCTATAACTCTATTGCTGTCCTTCTGCAGGCAACTCATTTTAGGATAATTACCTCAATAAATGTATTGGCTACGAAGAATCTTAGCGTTAAGTGAACGAGGCATATATTCTCACAGCAGCAGAATCCTTAGCTAGAATATGGCTCTAATACATAAGTCCTGATCTGTTATGATTCCTTACTGGCTATATATAATCTGCTAGGAAGAGTACATCGTACAAATTTAATTCCTAAACCATCAAACCTTTAGGCACGTTTCATTATTAGTGTAAGATTTTTCAGCAGTATAGGGGTGGTTATCTCACATAAGAGGCAAAATAATTTACATTCCTTAAAAAATCATTTTCTATTTTGGTTTTTGGTTCTGATCTCTGACAAACTTGGTGTATTTTAAGATTTATAGTCTTCCCAAGGTATGTGAGATTAAGTTTTCAGTTATCACAATGATGGTATTCCGAATTCTGTATTTTATGCATCTGAAGGCATACATAATTGTTTCAGGAAATCTATATACAAGAGTTGGCAGGCAATCACATTGCCAAAGCTCTACCTATAGACAACAATCTAGATCAAAAGAATTATCTTCCCACATGCTTTGTATTGCCTCCAAATTTGTGCACCTAAACATATGCACACCTACAGAATTAGCCACAGTACCTATAAACTATTTAGTGTCAAATCCTTAAGAAAAATTTCCTTGCTTACAATTTTTTTTTTTTTTTTTTTTGAGATCGGATTCTTACTCTGTTACCCAGGATGGAGTGCAGTGGCGTGATCTTGGGTCACTGCAACCTCCACCTCCTGGGTTCAAGCTATTCTCATGCCTCAGCCTCCCAAGTAGCTAAGATTACAGGCACCTGTCACCACACCCGGCTAAGTTTTGTATTTTTAGTAGAGACCAGGTCAGCCTGGTCTCCAACTACTGGCCTCAAGCTAACTGCCTGTCTTGGCCTCCCAAAGTACTGGGATTACAGGTGTGAGTCACCACACCTAGCGCTTGCTTACAATTAACTCAGAGATCTTTCTATAGTTAACGAGAACACGCTACTATTTCCAGAATATTCTAGAAAGTGAAACATAACTCGACTATCGACTATTTTTGAAAAGCACAACAAAGCCACAAAGATACAGAACTGGTATTTTCATTTTATGAATAAAGAGATGTATCATTTGAAAAAAAATCTCAGCAGTTAAATATACTTATGTAACAAAAGAACTCTAGTTAATATTATTACCTCAGAAGAAAAGAAACAGATTATAGGTATTTAGAATAACTTTGGAAAAAAAAAAAAAAAAAACCTTTCATTTGATTCCATGTTACTGCCAATTAAAGGAAAGAAGAAAACAAAGACGTAGGAAAAAAATGAAAATGACAAAAATAAAGTGAAGAAAAGTCACAGCACAAAGAGAGAAACACAAAGATACTGGGGCAAAAACAGAGAATATCATACAGAAAATATGTATCAAATTTATATAGAATTGTGAATGGGGATGTTGTAAAGATGATCATGCATTTAGTGGTAATTGGCTGACTATGGGGGTTTCTTCAAATTATAAGGGTCAATGATGATGTAACATTTTTATATTCAAGGTATTACTTTGTGTGGTCTAAAGAATAGCTGCATCGGCCAGGTGCGGTGGCCCACGCCTATAATCCCAGCACTTTGGGAGGCTGAGGCGGGTGGATCACGAGGTCAAGAGATCGAGACCATCCTGGTCAACATGATGAAACCTCATCTCTAAAAATACAAAAATTAGCTGGGCATGTGGCGTGTGTCTGTAGTCCCAGCTACTCGGGAGGCTGAGGCAGGAGAATTGCTTGAACCCAGGAGGCGGAGGTTGCGGTGAGCCGAGATTGCGCCATTGCACTCCAGCCTGGGTAACAAGAGCAAAACTCTGTCTCAAAAAAAAACAAAAACAAAAACAAAAACAAACAAAAACAGTAGCTGCACCAAGAATCTGTTGTTCATCTTGCAAGATCCCTATCTAAAATCATATGAATATATACACTGAGAAACATTTAATTTCATATTATAACAGCTTAACTCGTAGCAACTTCCAATGGACCACCAAGACTAATTTTAAGAAATGTCCATTATCAGATTATCAATTTGTTCATTATAGCAACTTAATTTGAAGGTATATAAAGACTAATTCTTTTGACTTTCTTCATTTTCCTTTCCAGTGTCAAGTTAAAAATAATTCAGATTCTACTCACTTCCAAATGAGTTTTAAGAAGTCAATACCATGAACAGCACTGTACAGAGTTATTATAATAATAAAATCTGCTAACGAAAGTACTAACCATGGGCCCATCACTTATTTATTAGATGTTCCACTAGAGAACATTTATTTAGATAAAAAATTAATGTACTATGTTCATTTCAATTAGGCAAGAATAGTTATCAAATTACTTTTACTGTAAGCATTATGAACAAATGACAATCCACAAATATCAGAAGGAAGAAGTGAAATACTGTAACGCCCTGGACTATCCTACGAATAAAGGAGATTATATACATGATAATTTTACACAAAGACAATTTTATCTTAGTTGCTGAAGTACAAATATGTGTTTACTAACATCTTTTTAGTATTCATAGCTAATAAGTATACCTAAAAAGAAGTTTTTAAAAATTATGAAGAAATAAACCCTTAAAACATGGTACAAGACCAAGTGTCCACAAATTCATTTTAAAAGGGAAATCAAAGTGAGGAAAAAAGATGGAGGGCATGCTAAGATAGTAAATGATATCACTTCAGAAAACATGTACTAGTCTTAGGAGATAGTACAGACACTTTTCAAATATTAAAGTTAATGAGGAAATTTGAGAATAAAGCTGTTCTATCAGAGCCACTCAGAAAGACGGTGCTCTTTCTGGCATAGTGGAGAAAGCACTGGTCTATCATGAGACCTGTTTAGAATCTCAGTTCTATCATTTAGCTTTATGACAGTGGGAAGTTTTGTTAAACATTTTGGAATTCAATTTCCTTATCTTAAAAAAAATGAGAACTTTGGTTTCTTCTACTTTAAAAAATTCTCACTCTAGGGAAATGACAGTAAACTAAGACTTAGAGAACTTACAGAGGATTTTAACTCCGGCTCCTTAAATAAGTCGATTAATTTTCATTTATAAAATAAGTTTTAGACAAAATGTAAACAATTTTTTTCCAGTTCCTACTTCTTAAAGATTCATTTTATGAAAAGAGAACTAAGAATGGTCACTTAGAAGTAGAAAACACTTAAATAACTCACTAGTTGGATGTGACTATCCTATGTAGTAAAGAGCTCAGCAAAACCTAAACAGCTCATGGGAGACATCTGCTGCTGAAACTGGGAAGTTAACGTGTGTGAGCTACAGGAAATAAAATGGCAGATGTGAATTTTGTTAGACAGCAACGCACGGTCAGGTTAAAAATGGAAGAAAAACAGTTTTATATGTCCATCAATTTCCTATATGGCAGAATATAAACACTAAGCCACTGATTTATATTGTTATAAAATATAAAGTCACTGACAAGAAAAATTAACAACTGACAAGAAACAAAACAACGTAAGTCAAATGTGAGTAGGATGCTTTATATAACCCAAGAGATACTAAGGGTATACCTTTCCATACTAAAATTATCTAGCTCTCTAATAAGAATTCACAAAAAGAACCCACTCTGGATGTCCATGACAAACCATTTTTCCATTTTTCAATCGTGTCTAAACTCTAGAGCTTAGAATAGGGAAAGGTTAGGGTCACAGCTTGGCTACATGATATGCCAAAGATGACAGGAAGGAAATAGAGCTAATTAAATTTTGTTTTGCTTCCAACTTTTCTCTCAGGGAGAATAATTTTTAGAAAGACAGACAGAAAGGCTGATCAAAATGCAAAACAGGAGTGTAGTTACTTTAGATGAGTTCCAGTCTCAAAGCAAAATGAATCACCTCCTAGAAATAGAACAAATTTGTGTATGTAATTACAGAACCAAATTTTTGAAGAAAAACAGAAAATGGCAAAGTACAAAAAGAATGACAAAGTATTCCAATATTTAAAATTAAATACTGGAATTTAATTAAATTTAATTTTCATTTATAAAAAGACATTTATAAAATAAATGAAAATTAAATATTAAAATATTAAATTCCAATATT